GGGATTATATGAGAAAAGTTCTTAGTGTTTAATGGGAAAAATAAAGTGTTAGGGGGTTTCTCGAAGAATATGCCTCTGTGCTACGAGACTAAACTTGTTGTTTTGAGAACTTAAAGTCCTCAAGGTGACATGAGGGATTGCTTGCATTATTTATTTTGAAGTTTAGACAAGAGATTTAAACATAAGTAGGTGAACATGTAATATTAACATAAACTCAAAATAGTTCTCACAACTAAACAGCACAACAAGCACCATGGAAGCGAGGATCCTAGCCTTTTGGTACACGTCATTTTGAGTTACCTAGTGAGACTAATACTAAAATAAATTAAGATCATGTGTTTATTCTAGATATTAAGATTTTTTTAAAGGTTTCAAAGATTTTGTCATAATTTTACCTATTTATGTAACCCATGGAAGATATGCAAGGGCTTGTCATAGGTCCTAAGCCTAAGTAACCCATTAGTGTGAATTACCGTCTACGCAAATTCCATCTTTGTTTCAACATTATTGTTGTTGTTATTTGGAACGTGTATGTCCATTCACGGAATTAACCGACATATTACCAGTATGACACGCATCAAGTTTATAATAGTTTAGTTTATCAGAATACTCAGATCATGACTGACAGTTTTAATATGTACTCCGTCAACAACACAACATTGGAAACCGTGAAGGTTTACACCCATCTCTATTAACTATAATATATATTTTTTTATTTACTTGTTAGTATCAAAATCTTCTTTCCAAGTCGCAATAGGAAGTATGATCCTTATTTCTAGTCAGATTAGCACTAGGTGACAAGATAGCTACATGATGCGGGCCAGCCCAATAGCCCGAATCTCATGGATACCTCAGGTTGCCACCCAGCCCAATTAATCAAACAAACTTATTTTCACAGCTCTTGGTAATGCCCGCATGACAATTGACAAAGAGGATACTTCACAGAGCCAACCAAACGTTTGCTCTTTTTTGAGATCAGCCTCAGAGAGTTTGGAAATCTATTCCTCTAATAGTAGGAGGACCCAAGAGTTACTATTCATGCTATAGTTAAAAAAAAGGAAGGTCGTGTTTGATACGGGGCGCACACTAGTATCTTTTAACCCGTTAACCTCTAAAAGTTTGTTTAGATAACCCTAAAAAGCAAGGAGTTGTTTGAAAATAGATTCAGAAAAGAAAAGTTTTGACTGTTAAGTGACATTTCCAAACATTTTGGGATTATCTCAAAATGTACCAGTTACCCTATAAGGGTAACAATTGAAGCAAGTAAGAGCAAGAGCTTTACATTAAAATACTTCTCTATATAATGTTCAGCTGTAAAAGCTTTCTATTAGTGGGGGGTTTTCCCCCCCTTTCACATGTAGGGCAAAATCAATATGTACATTTTATTATCATGATAACTGACAAACATTTACCAAAAGTTTTCACAAGACAAAAGCTTTTATCTATGATAATTGTATTAGACTATATGGATTTAGGCACAATTGTTATGAGCCATGACCGTGTACTATTTTCCTAGAAGGACAATATCAAATATTTAAAAATACGGTAAATTTGCGGTAGGGCACATGCCCTATCTCAAGTGATCTTTAATTTATTAACTCATTCTCATGAATTAATTATTTAGTACGGTATTATTCCATATGTTACGCAATACCAAAGTGAAGTAATCACTTTCAAAAAGTTCGAACATACCTTTCCTGGAACTGGGATTAGTTGTAGGTATTCTAAGCATTCCTTGAGCACAAGTAGTTATTAATTTAATAGAAGAGTAATTGGATGTAGGGCTGTCCAAAAAGCCCGTCGGCCTGGCCTGGCCCAGGCCCGATCGGGTCGGCCGAAACCCGGCCTGGGGTTGGCCCGAAAACCCGGGCCAGACCTGGGTCCGAGCCCGGGTCCACTCGACGGTGACTG